TTACATTATTAAAATGGCAATTTAATTGTTTTTTTCTTCTCCCAGTGCTGCGTTTCTTGCTCTTATGATTGGGGTGTTTTTGGACCACGTGAATAACTATCTGAAAAACGCCCTATACAGCAAGTTATTCACGGTTTAACCCCTGAAAAGAGAAAGATATAATCCTATATATGAGTTTTGAAAGAAAATGAAAGCAGCATTTTGTTTTGGTTTCAAGTGCTATATAATTATTCACTGTCATGTGAAGGAACTGACTTTGATAACTCCTTGCTTGGAGGAACTTACTACTAAGTACTGAGATAAAAATATATATCTTTAAGAGGTCGTAAAGTCAAAACAAATCTAAACTTGTTCTGAAGTTTTTCAGCTCGGCTAGGCGTGAAAAATATTTTGCAGTTTCTTAAGGGTTCGGAGCTTTATAAAGCCACGATTAATGAATGTTGCCAAATGAGAACAACGTGGTACATACAAGTGAAATTGTTCATCTAGCTGGTCACCATGCATTATACGCCGTGTTTCAGTTTCGGCGATAATACGATAGGTTTAGTAGCCACAGACCTGTTGTCGGGAAGTCAACAAATAGAATTTTACAACTTTAATTTGGAAATGAATCTGGTTATGGATAAAACGTGTCTAGAAAACGACGACCTAGAAAACGATGAGATAGGTGTAATGCTCTTTTGAAACGTCTAACTTAGCTGTGTTAAATCTATTGTTCTCGCTCATTTGCATTGGAATCGACTACAAGATTACGCACATGTGAAGAAACAGACTATATCTCACACATCGAGCTGTCGTTGGAAAATAAAACGAGAGTTGATAAAAATGAAAACCTGAGAAGACCTCATACAGAAGATTTAGACAGAAATCATCAATTATTCAAGCTTTTATCAGTTCTCGACACCGTTTAGAAGACCCTGAAAATGTTGAGTTATTTTCGTGCCACTAAAATAATATTAAACGTACAGTGAATATCGATAATATATTTGTTTTCTTTTAGACCAGTTTCATTTACTATGTAGCGCATAAATTTCGTTTGCCTTTTACTTTTTATAGCGTCAGTTTCCTTTAAATAAGCTTTATATTTTAGATATAAAATATGGATAAAGCTCCAAAATAGTATTCTCTTCCTTTATACTGTCGCAGTGTCTCCTTAGAGAAAATATTTTTCTTCAACAAAATAAAGCAACGTTATACAAACTTACTTGCCGGGGATTTTGCCTGGTCTGATCGCAAGTTTCGTCCTCGCCTTCGTCAGCCATCTTTTATTTCATTTGCACATGGTCGATATCGTCGTGCGAGGAACAGGAGGGCATTTTGTATGCGCATGCTTCAATGTGGGCTGTTGAAGTGCCACAGAGCGACCACAGAGGCATTTTCTATGAATTGTTTACATTCAGTACCAGCATTTGCAGGTTGTTTTCTGGAGCTGAATGACGTGTATTGGGTGCTACGTTCCACAAACATGTTCTTTAAGGTATCGAGGTATTTCTACGATGAAAGTGAGTTTATTGTACCTTCGCTCTCGCCCTTGACAGGACAGTCTTTCCTTTCGTAAAACAGTACATCGAAGACAAGATGGCGGCTGAATGTTCTTATCTCCTAACATTTCGCGCACATTTTTTGAGCAGGAGGAGGTCAGTGTGATAGTTTTTCGTTAAACAATTATCCTTATAGATACTTAATTCTTCTCAACAGTATAACTCCAAAATCGAACTTAAACGTTTCAGGAATACAGTGGTTAATTAAGTGTCCATTCTTCCGTTAAACTGTGTTTCCCCCTTTCTCTGGCTTGTTTATCTCGAAATCTTGCCTTTCTCCCCAGATTAAGTTAACGATTAATGAAACTAAGATTACTTCCGCGAATGAATGGCGCTTTGATGAAGGCTGTGAAAAATCGCCTTCTGCAGTAATTTTAGCTTTCTTCTCCGGTATACGTCTTCGTTGAGAAATAAAATACACGCACTTCAACTATAAATTTAAATCAATATAATGATGCCAGTAAGATTGTGTTTTGAAAATACGAATATTCTATCATCTATGTACACAAAGGCAAAAAAAATTATGGCAATCGGTTTGAATTCTGATTTTTTCCACCTTATTTTGATGATACACTGTTTGTTTACATTTCATTATGCAAATAAATTTAACATTTTGACGTTTTAAAGAAAATCTAGCCTAACTCCCCAACCCCAAAATAGCACGAAATAAAACGTTATCAATACACCTTTTAAATAAATCCTGGCTTCTACTGCAAAAAAAATCGCATTTATTCCTAAATGATACCATTTTGTGGATACTACATTTGTTGATATTCTAATTTGTGAGACATTTCATTCACGAAGGACGTTGACTGAGACCAGCTTCTCCTCTGTATTGAACCACATGCTTGTTTAATGCATCAGTTTCTGCTTGATAATTCTTCCATGATGTACAACTTACATAGGGCTTCATCTGGATACAGTAAAAAGCTCTCAACAGAGACATCAATAACAGACAAATTTATCCATCCATTTGTGTCATGTTTGTTGTCACATCCCAGCTCATTTGGGTCCTTTAGTAGAAGTGTTTATTTTTGGAGAAACAGCATTATTTGCACCCCTTTAACAAACTTCTTGTCTTATGTTTAAACAGGCTTTGAAGGTGAACAACATCGTGAGATTTATGGAGTGATGGCCATTCTTTCTTTTGAATGGATCACTACTGTTATCAAATTTAAATTAATAAAAAGAAATCGATTGTGGAATGCAGGAGCTGTTACTCAAGAGTCGCTTCAAAATAGTAGCTTAGGAAAATCTCTGTATCTTTTAAAGTGAAAGAAAAATAAAAGTACTGTTCGTTTTTTCGGAGTATGTGCATTCGTTTTGTCTGCAACTGAGCATATGAAATGCTCAAATGATTATGTACTATATAATCCCTTGTAATTTTTGCTGTCTCAAACTCAATCCATTCTTCATTTCCTATAGAATATTTTTTATAAATTTTTCCGCGAAAACTTTCGAAAAACTGCAAAAACCCCATAGATTTCATGTTTTGGTGGCAGATATAAACGCGTCTCCGCGATCAGTTTAACATGAGACATCGCGCTAATAAATAAACCTCGCGTGGTAATTTTTTGTTTCGCTTTTTGTCTTAAAGCAGCTGAACATTGTTACGATGCATTTCCTCCCTGATAAGTAAAACCACGAGTTTGGAAATCAAGAAAAAAGTATTAAGATTGGACGCTTCCTCGTATCAGAGCTCAGACAGAACTGTCCAGCACCTTTGTTTATGACTACAAAATGAGCACGGGCGGCGGTTCTGCGAGGAATTCGCACCTCAGCCAGGGGGGACGAATGACAATGATGCCCATGTCTGTGAACCGATCTGTATAAACATGTATTGTAGAGCAAAACCTAATAATCAAGAAAAAAATACCCATTCATTGAAGGAAGGAGTGACAAAAATTTCAGAGTTGTAAATTTAATCACAGGCAGTATTTTTGCGATAATTTTATTTTGCACTGCGATGTTATTCGGTTCACAGGCATGGTCATCGTGGTCGTTCGTCCCCCCTGGGTGAGGTGCGAATTCCTCGCAGAACCGCCGCCCGTGCTCATTTTGTAGTCATAAACAAAGGTGCTGGACAGTTCTGTCTGAGCTCTGATACGAGGAAGCGTCCAATCTTAATACTTTTTTCTTGATTTCCAAACTCGTGGTTTTACTTATCAGGGAGGAAATGCATCGTAACAATGTTCAGCTGCTTTAAGACAAAAAGCGAAACAAAAAATTACCACGCGAGGTTTATTTATTAGCGCGATGTCTCATGTTAAACTGATCGCGGAGACGCGTTTATATCTGCCACCAAAACATGAAATCTATGGGGTTTTTGCAGTTTTTCGAAAGTTTTCGCGGAAAAATTTATAAAAAATATTCTATAGGAAATGAAGAATGGATTGAGTTTGAGACAGCAAAAATTANGATGGTAATTTATTTTTGAAATTCCAAAACAATTTCACAGCTGAATTTTGAGCGACTTTTAGTTACGGACTTCTGCTCCAACGATTTTTCTGAAATTCCTTGGGCATATTTATTATATCAATTAAAGCCGATTCCAGAAATTTCAGTAAAAAATATCAGCAAAATTTTTTACTAGACGCGATTTTCTTTGAACAGTAGGGTCCTTTAAGCGCTAATTTCTCAAGAAATATTTACCATCAATGAAATCGGAATAGTTCGTATTATTGCCGAATGATATCTGTTGTTCTTTGCAAAGTTTCGCAGCCATCGCATTAAAAACCAAAAAGTTATGACGGAAAATTTGTCACAGCTAAATGCTCTTGTATTAATTACGGAGCCACCTTAATCCCATTTAATATTTCACACTCCTCGAAAGTGCTAACATTTCTGTGTCATGGCGTGACTTTTCAATGTATTAAATGTCAGCATACATTGCAAGATAATGATATCTTCATTTCGCGCGAGAATAATTTTGCTTGCGCGCTTTTAAAGTACGTAAAATCACTCGGTTTCCCACAACGCCTGCGTTGTTACTGGAGTACATTGCCTTGGCGTGGATCTAGCATTTCACCTGCTCGTCGCTTCTTTTTCTCGGGAATTGTTTATATTTGGACCTCGAGGGAATAGATCAGAATGTGTGGTGGATGTTCACACTCGGCCTAATATCAAGGAAGGATGCTGGATTTTTCTCATTGTTAGCAAAAGAAAGGTAAAAAACCGACTGCTCTGAGGTAAGAATTGAAATTTTTAATTAGTTTCGCGGCGAAAACAACCGTTCCACAGTAAAGAAATTTATATCGCTGTGACTTTATTATGATATGACGCTAGCTTGTGCTAAGTAATTGTATGACTCCATAAATTCGATTCGCTTTTTCGCAGATCCAGTAACATTCGATAAAGTTTTGTTCGCTTTCTTAAGGGTGATATATTTTTAAGGACGTCGACGGTGCCTTGTTCAATGGTTCATTTTCTTGGCCTCGACGATTTC